CAAACCAGGCTTTTCAGCATGTTCAGGGGTAGGATATGATAAGTAGTCGTGGAATTTAGACATTAAAAAAATCATATGTTAATTAGCTCCAATGGACTCGCCAGGAGAGGCCACCCTCTCTACCCAAATTAATCAAAATGAGCACTCATTTTCAGAAGGAGCGTCAACAAACCGCTTAATGCAAAAATTCCGAAAATGCAAACATTGCTGAGTTAGCACAATGGTACTTTTTCTAGTTAACCACAGCTATTACAGGGCACATGACGTACGTTGCACATTTAATCTTATTTGCCAAAACTAACGACTTCCAATACTTGTTAATCTTACATAAAAGTGAAAGCACACTTGAAATATTGACATTTTGCCATGCTCTTCATTAGGGGAAGGGGTATCGCTCAACTTATAAATAACCCTAACTTTGCTCATCAAAAATATTTCTAAGAAAACTTTATCCTTTGGCCCCATGTACTGAAATTACTTTGCATAGGCTCTGTAATCCTTAGAGTGCCAAGGGCAGAATCTAGCCTTATCTTACGACATTTTCTCCAATATCGTCGCAATGTATTTTCCTCTGAGTCTTCATGATTCGTTTAGTCGTAACTTGCAAATGATCATTTTGACACCATTTTTATGACAATAGAACACTCCCGTTCTCGCGTAACATCCTTACTTTCGAAAGAGGCCAGCCAAAAATATGGACTTTTCCTTTTACCGTGTTGTAAGCCCTCGGCGTGAATTACAGCTGGAGGTAGCAAGTGTATATCAGAGGGAAATTATTAACGTCGCATGTCCCATTTTAGGGTTATTTTGCATAGTAATGAGGGCCATGGAAATTCGTGCCGGGCAAGCAGCTGCTTCATTTCGTGAAATTGACGTCAAATTTTCACTTTTTGGAAAAAACAATACCTGCCCCCAAATATTTTCATGGTAAGATAAGGCCTTTCCTAACATGTTTTGTGAAAATAAAATTGAGAAATAGTATCAATGAAACTAGTGATTTTTGTGAAAAGCTCTTTTCGTAAGTGGTAGTTTGTTTACGTTTTGATGCGATTTTTGAAGGCTCGAAAAGTTTTCAAAAGTGGGCTGTGGTGGAGAAAGGTGTGAAGGTTTAGATTTGCTGGCGGTTTTGCGCTAGATATTTCTCTCTTCCAGACCGGACGCGTTTGCATATCGACCCAACTCAGCACTGATTCCGTTTATCCCTCATAAACTGCGCGCGCCAGAATTGAATGACTCGGAAACGAAAGACCAAGTCAAAAGTACGGAAGTTTATCATGACACCGAGGTCTGTCTGTCATTATAACATTGTCATGTATCCACAGTTTTACATGCACTGTACATAGATGAACCACATGAACATATACACCAGCTCCGACGCATAATTCCCATAGGCCTACGTGTACAATGTACACGTACATGTACAGTAACGTCGTAACGCGACAGGCCACAGTGTACCGTGCACAGTAACTGGCTGGATGGGATTTATTCATGTATACGCAGATTGAGCTGCCCAGAAGTGTCTAAAATAACTTATGAAAGTCAACAAAAATCTAGCTGATAAAACTGATTGTGTTGTGTAGTTCAGGCCTGTCGTATGCGGTGTTTCATTGTTCTGGGAAAACTTCTGAAATTAAATGGAAAAAAGGCCAATAGACCAATTGAAATGGAGATAGTTTATAATCTTAGCAACCACTTTGAGGCTACATTTATGCAGTATTTCTTTTCACAATTCTGCAGTGTTTTATTCGATTTAAGCCTTCTAGAGCACATACAAAGAGTTTCAATGTGATCGTTTGTTAATTTTGCGCAAACGAAGTCTTTAAAACGAGAAGGCTCAACAGAAGATTGGCAAGTTGCTAAACTAAAGGACAATTCCGTATAGGCCTTTTTGGTTCACAAGGGTCTGGTCAAGTAGTCGCGCAGCGTCGAAGGGAAACATGCGTGGTAGCGTTCTTAGTTTTAGGAGTAGCTTAATACGTTGTACTGTGTTTACCGTTTGAAGATGTGCTCTTTAGTCAATGCATATAAAGCAGGAGCAATACACAATGCTACAACATCCGGGTTGCTAGCTTAATGTCAAGCCTGGGTCACACTCTACAAGTATAACTTCACAAAGAGTTATTGAGGAACACCAAAACCAATGATTTAAGGCAAATGCTTCTCATCAATATTTCTGGTGAATTCTTGGAATAGACTCATAATTTGAAAAAAGGATTATATTGAAGTGAAGAGCGATCACTCATTTTCATATGGAATATTTACCAAATATATGGGATGTGTATATGGGATAAACACAGAGGAACTCTCCTTCCTTCTCTCTAAAGGCAAGAAATTGAAAATCTCACTCAAACAGCGTGAGTCCCTTATAAATCCACTCCAAAAGAATGAAAACCCCACTATGGCAAGAAAACCACTCAAAAAGAGTTAATATGGAAAAAGAGGAGCAGAGTGGAAACTGTAATCTGTTGGGGGAGGTTTACACTTTTTTTATGTGGTTCTTTCTTTTTTATAGCAGTTTTCGCTCTTTGGGAGTAATTTCCATAAGGGACTCACTCTTTTTTTTCATACTTTTACCTTTAGAGAGTTGAATGGGTGGCTAAGCAGCTCACACAACACATATTGGCGACATGAAACAGTCGTTCCATTAAAAATTCCATATTTTTACTAACTTGATCAATGGAGAACACCGTAGGTTATTTGAAAATTCAAGGACCATGGATTACTTGTCGAGGATGCATCGTTCAACACTGATATCAAGTATAATGTTAGATTATATGCCAAGATGCATGCTTAAATTAGCTAAGATTGATGATGCAATTTCGATATCGAGCACGGTTCGTGGTCCACATGAGCAAGGTTGAATGTCCACTTTGCATCATTTACATTGCCAAGGACGAATGTTCACTTCGTGATATCACGCACTGGCACCGTTCACATGGCCACACTTGATACAGAGGTTGATATGGTGAAGGTTGAACGTTCATCTGGCGAAGGTTAACATCAAAATATCGTCCCAGGGCCACCTTGCCGTCGTCATCATAACAAAAAACCCAACATGGGATTAAATTGAAACTTCACAGCTTATGGGCTACTCATACCGGCAATGGTTTTGCCAAGTTTCATAAATAATTGGGCATAGGCCTATGGGGCAGCCGAGATATTTGGGGCGGAATCCGCCCCAACGATGCCGTGAGGTAGTCCAGTAAAGCCCGGTGCTTTTGTGCGCCCCATTTTCGTGAAGTCGAGGTAACCTCTGTATCCAACGATTGTCTTATACCTTTTCGTTATTTTCTTCGTGTTAGGAAAGCCCATTATGCACTTTTTTATAACAAAATGTTCTGACACTTAAAATGCCATACTGCAGCACCTATACATGTACAACGATCAGTAACGTGTCAGCTGCATGTCATGCAACTGACAAAAAACAAATCAAGCATAAATCGTGTCAAAACTAGTTCGATCAGCAAGTTATAAAGTTATCGGCATTATAAAATCCCGGCCCATCGGTTTGTAGAACCATTATACACGTCCACTAATCTCTTATGGAAAGAAATCGACGCTTTTTTAAAGGAAATGTCCATCGATGATTCATATGCTGTATAAAACTTCTTTAAACCTCATGTTCACAAAATTAGATAAATCGATCTCTCTACCTAATTCAGTCTTGGATGCTCTTGAACTCTGATAGAGTTCCTCGATCCCATCAATTGTAAGCTATGGTTAATGACTTGGAACGAACTGCGAGACAGGTTAGGAGCCATGACACCGGCCGTTTTCATGCAACCCTACAGCAAGGGTATGCCGGCAACTCAGCATCTCTGATAGTATACCTGATCATCTCCGTGCAAGTAGGCCCTACGAATATTTTCGTCATTTTCCAATTGCTCTTACATCTACCTTTCTTGTCGATTGGGATGGTCTATAATGAAACCTAGTCAGCTTTCTATTTCCCGAGCGAACAACTTAAAAGGGGACACCTTGAAAGTTGGAACTTTATGTGGTGAAGTTAGCCCTGTTTGATTTTAATAATATTTATAAAACGTCGCTTGCGTGCATATTTTAAGTTTGTAAGATATTGTCACTCTTTTAAAGAAAACAAACTACGGAAGGGCAGCCTTATAACTGAAAAATATTTTGGAATTATGATGATTCTGGTAACAATAAACGATGCTCCAAAGTTTAATGAACTTGGAGCAGTCCTATATATCTGGATAACACTTGGGCATTTGCCTGATATTGATCTGGTCGGAAGTCGATATTCTCATTTATGCTAGCGAGTTAGTCTGGGAAGAGTGCTTGGGCTCTGTATGTTTGTCATCATTCTAGAAACCAGTGTGGAGCACACGGACAGGCAAAGAAACCGAATGTCATATTATAAAATCGAACAGTTTAGTGTTGTAGGCGAGTCACCAGATTCAATTCATTCGGGGACCCATTATGTGATACCTACCTCTCTCTGAGATTTGCCGCGTCCGCAATCTCCTGGCTGGTCTTGGGTTCCCCTCCCAACGAGATCATGACCTCAAAGAGTCCAGTCTGCATGCCCATAGCGATCCCGAGACATGCTAATCCGCCGCTGATCTGGTGGAGCAGCCTTGACGAAAACTCAGCCGCCGTTTCGCCGGCGTCCCCGTCGGTGTGACCAGAGAGAGCCATGGTGGAAAGCCAGTACTGCGCCAGTCGCAACAATCAGCCAAGGGTTATTTTATCTTACTTCTATTTTCCGCTCCGTTTTGACAGTCGTCCCTCTCTGATCACTTCTGAATGAGAACAGATGTTAGTGCCGTTGCTGACAAAACCTCATCGATATTATTTTGTGTCACTGATAAACATGTAAATTTCCACAATGATAATGATTCGTTCACGCGCCAGCGGCCCACCTGATCACGGTCTATGGAAAAAAAACACGGTGCCGGTTTGGGGAAGATCAGTCGCACGTGACAATAAAAAAGACTCCCCTTGCGGTGGAGTTTTACAGCAAGTTTGTCCCTGGTATTGGTTAATGATGTGTCTTTAGGTAAGTTTCGCGGCCCAGCCTTCAGTTAAAGCATCGCGACGTACATCATCGGTGTCTTTTCTCTAAGGAGACGTGTTGCTACCAGAACCCCCGGTTGGAACATTACACCTATGGGCCAGGAGAATGCGTGAAGTGTACCGATCATCAAGTACAAAACTGAGTTACGCTTTATTTGATGAGATCAGAGGGCACGCTCACGAAAAAGGGGGTGCACTCTTTTTTACAAGAATTGTTATATTTGTTTCTCTTCTCTTTACGAAAGGAAGTCTTTGACAAATAAAACGTGTCCACCTGGCCGGCAACAGGTAAGAACTAGGGGAGAGCAAACACATAGCGTGTTTAATGATTACCGGAGAGGTTGATAAAAAGCTACACGGAAATAATAGGGCACGTTTTGTTAAGAATGTGGCCGGCCACTCTGATAGGGTATAACTTTTGGAGAGGTGTATTAATCATCTTCGTTCAAGTCGATGGATTTGCCTCATCCCACCAGTCTCCATTGCGAAAAACCGCCACCGTTTTCACGAAAACTGAAGAATTTGTGTTTGTTTACAAAATAAACAAATTAAATTGATTTCTATAAATACCATTTCGTAGTTTGATGTCATTTAAGGTCCCCCATTTCATCGAGTAATAATGGTTAAGTCAAAGGAATGCTTAATACGGGGAAATAACCGTTTGAAAGAGAGACCAACCTCAAATGGCGCATCTCGAAAACAAGTTTTTACTCTCCGGCGAGGTTGTCTCTCTTTCTGAAGGTGACAAAGCACCCGCATAATACACTTAAGAGCACCGTGGCAATGCCTTGTTACATAGGTCTGCACTGGCAATCACATATTTCAGTAAACTATTATAATAGGAATCTATCTGCTACGCATCAAGGGTACTGAAGAAGAAAGAAGTTCAACGTAGGCGTGTATAGACCTTGACACATTCAAACGAGGTAATATACATACATAGCGGTCCAATACGGACCTTAAGAGTAACAATGCATCCCAAGGCCTCGCAGCTCTATGGCAATTCAATCGCAAATCATACCAATATCAGGTCAAAGTCGCGAGCTATTCAAGTCACAAAAAGCAGTTCAGAAACTCCCCCTCCAACTTCACTCGTGATGACTGGACTTGTGAAGGACTTGGATGGGCTCGATTCTGACAAAATCATCTCGCGGGTAATTTTGAAGTATTTCTGCTTGTGCTTTGTGTCCAGGATTGTCAAGTTTATCAGGCATCGTTATCAGCACCCACAAATGCAATCTTGAAGTCAACGTGATTTTAAAAAGGGGAAAATAAGGCCTTCGGTCTAGACCTGACTTCATCCCAATAACACAATGAACTTCCACCACATTTGAATCAAATCTATAGACCAGGCAGGTCTATTACCACAATCACATCTCTCCAAGTCTTCGAAAAGCACTCAATAGATACCGCTAGTCTGGCAATGGTTCCGCACGGGTCTGGATTAATTTTACATGTACCATGCATGGGCCCTCGTCAATAATGTCACGTAGGCCTATCCGCCTGAGGCACTGCAGCGTAAATTTCACTGTGCTAATGAATGGTGCTTGATGATGAGTTGTATCAACCATAGTCTGAAGCTTTCTCAGAATTTTCAAAGAAATACATCAAAACTTTGAACAACGTGCTACTGCATCGTCCGGCCGTGGTTTGACAGCGCGGCATTCGTTTGTACAAGTTACAACAGCCATTCACTATGTCTTCTTTCCATTTTCGGGCCGCGGGACATACAGTCAGCACACCTTTTAGAAAGGTGAAGGCCTTCTGTTTAGTTCAAGCCCCCAATGGATACATAGAGGATAGCTGAGATCGAAATGAAGCTATGGATGCAGTCCAAGTGTTATTATTTCAATGTAGCAACATCCGTGAATAGTGCTAGTGACAGAGGACAATATCTTTGTATCAAGCCTGGATTAGCTCTGGTTAAAAAGCTGTCTTTTACGTCAACAGTGACAAATTGTGAGTTCTATTCTTTAAATTTTGTTTCACGGTTCTTTGAAGGATGTTTCGTTCCAGAATGACCCACAATGGGCTAAAACGTCACAGGAAGGAATTTTAAAAAGGCAGCTCGCTATTGCATTGTTTTGATGTTGTACATGATGAACAGAGAAAGATGGCCGAAAACGATTTCAGGATGTACATATGTCTTAGCCAACATTTTCCAGAACTTGTGCAATTTTGCTGCACAGGTCGTTTTGTCCGAGTTGGAACATGCGTGATAAGCGCTTTCTTCATGTCATCTCGGCCGCACGATCTGCTTCTTGAGCCTGTTAAGTGCGAACATGCCGCATGCGCATGATGATCGCCCAATTTTAACTAATTATAAGGGTTGGCTGGCAGCAACTTTGATGCGGACATTGGCCGACACGAGACTTCGCTGGACTTTGGAATAAAGCAGCCACGGCCTTTTGTTGTTACATCAGCATCCCTGGGAGCGACTGAGCGTGTGTGACTTTTTGAACTCGTTCAGAGCCATGTTAAAACACGGTTAGGGTATTCGATAACTGAGTACGTGTACATGTTTTTCTTTCAGAGAATCGTGCTCGGGATAGATATCCGTGGTAAACAAATTGAATCTCTCTGGAAGCGTAAACAATGCGGATATAGGGCAGAGAAAATGATCAGTCATATTCAACAGGTGCCGCACTGTCATTACTGTGTGGATTTGAGCTTCGCAAGGTCGCTGAGTGGGCGAAACGCACGGACAAAATGGTCATTCTGGGAGCGACGAACAGTGCAACATACACATCGTGATGGGGGACAGATTAATATTCTGTCTTGAAACAAATAAGAGTACGCCAGAATCGAATGCCAAAATGAAATCTCTCAGCTGGTAACACACACACCCATTGGCTGAGGCCGAGTCAATTCGAAAGACTGCATACTTGGATATTCGACCTTCCGTTTAATTGCATACTCTAATAATCGGTTGTGCCGAATCCCTAGCAGAAACAAAATAAGCATGTTTCACGGAGAGTGAAAAAGAGAAACTTAAAGGATAGGTGCAAACAATTTGTTTTAAGGGGAGCGGGTTAGCGGGTTAGCGTAGTGGTTCTTTCCTCGCTTTGCACCAATCAGGCTCGGGTTTGAGTCCCGGCTTGGCCCAGGCTTTAAGTGCATTTGGTTTCCAGTCCATACTCGCTCTCGCAGGTTTTCTCCGGGAACTCCGGTTTCCTCCTGCCTCTAAAACTAGACCTTCTTCCCAACTCCGTAATGTGATGCTGATTAATGAAGTGTATGAATAAAAACGTACAGTTATTGGCGCAAATAGCCTGAGTTGCTGAAAGCGCCATTAAAACAAAACGACATTTGTTGTAATGCAAACATTCAAAATGTATCTTTTTATGTCAGTTAACCTGATTTTTCAACTTTTGTTGCACAATTCAAATATATTTTACTGCCTTTTTTGTTATTATGCCAATGACATTCTGTATTCATATGCAAAACTGTGATGTCATCCCAGGAAGAAGCATCAATCTGACATTAGTTTTGTACAAAGAAAAGTCCCACATTTCCGCAGATTTTGCTGGACTCACTTTTTTCTTCTTTGCTGATGCATTGTTGTTTGTGTTCATAGCAACGAGCAAGAAAAGTCGTTTCAGTGAGTAAATTCCAGATTCATAATTTGAACAGAAAAGCATATGTACTGAACTAGGTCTTCCCAAGATGACTTCACAGCAACTGCGCCCTCAGTTGTCCAAGAAAGCATTACTAATTTTAATTGCTTTAAAAAGTGCACTTTTCAATGCATTTAACCAAGTAGGAATGGAACAAAAAGCTTTCATACATTGAAGAACACAAAAGTTGAAACAACTGTGTCTACGAAACATTCAGTGCAACTGTACACAGAGAAAAGGTAATAGCTTATTGCTGGGCATACGCATTCGGTGCTTTAAAGGGGCCAATGTGATCAATTTTTCTCAAACTTTTTTCAAATCCTTAAACTTTTCCTAACCGTATGACCAATAGTCTATTATTATCAGAACTTTTACATTGTCCGTGCGTTTTTATACGTAGAAGTGACGGCACGACTGCCGTTCTGTCAATCAGGGAGTATTCAATTTACGTTTTACCGTTGGAATTGTGAACCCCAAATTTGCTCATTGAAACATTTCTGAAAAAGGGTTGCTCGTTATCGTACTGTCATGTGATTACATAAGCCAAATCACGAATGTAAGAAAAAAAAGAAAGAAACCTAAGAAATTCCAGCAGTTTTAGCGAAATTGAGGTGAATATGGAGATTTTCCCACGAATTACATCACAGTTTTGCTCATGAATATGGGCATTTATGTGGGCATAAAACCCAAAAATTTACTTTTCAGAGCAGCATAAAAATTATTAAAATATGAAAAATTTCAAAAAGAGAAACGCAAACGTTCACTTTTTACGGGTGACAGTAGAATGCAATTTTGTAACCAAATAATTACTTTTCCCTTTTAACTCCACTGATATTAACCACTGAAAATTGATTTTGAAATGATTTTTAATTTTTAATGATCTCTGGAATAATGAGCACAACCCTGTAAGTCAATCCCCTAAGTCATCAATTTGTGATAATGCAATTTTGGTCCAGCGGGAGAAAATGGGCATATTACAAAATGGGTACAAATCTTCAAATAAAATCATGCATGTTTTGTTTATTAACATAACAATCTATTCAACTTTGTTACATTGATTCTAGTACTCTATGTGGAAAATAAACAAAAAAGTTACACAAGTTACTGATACGATCAATAATTTTAGCATAAAAATACTTTTAAAAATCACATTAGAAGTACAAAATGAGAGCCAGTGATACATTGCTTTATTTGTAGTGAGTTGATGAATGGGTATCAACTCGCACATCAACAGGCTTCGATGTGACACAACGTAGCAATGTCTTTTTATCAAGTGTCCAAAGTCTAGATATTGCATTTATTTGTACAGTTATTCAAAATTATCGGTGTGGAAGAGAGAAAGAGAGACGAGTATGCAAAGACATTAAAGGGGCACAGGCTTGGAAGGTCCATAGAAATAGGGCATTGCACATCATCTCCAGCCCCAGCTTTGCTCGATGCTTAACTCTTCTTTGTACTTCGACAAAATTCATGTGCTTTCCAAACTCGAGTTTGGCCAGTCTGTTGTGCTCAGAATTCACTACTCATGGAAACAATTTAATTGGAGGGGGTGCTCGGAATTCACTACTCATGGAAACAATTTAATTGGAGGGGGTGCTCGGAATTCACTACTCATGGAAACAATTTAATTGGAGGGGGTGCTCGGAATTCACTACTCATGGAAACAATTTAATTGGAGGGGTGCTCGGAATTCACTACTCATGGAAACAATTTAATTGGAGGGGGTGCTCGGAATTCACTACTCATGGAAGCAATTTAATTGGAAAGTTGTTTTTTTTTTTCAAATTTTCTGGCACTGATAGTTGAGGGAATTCCTTGTGGCCACTGGACTTACTGCAATTACTTCAAATTTGGCAGCTCGCATCATCTCTTGGGCTTTCTCCCGCCCCCAGAGTGCTCCCAGGCCCATCCCACCCTCAACTGATAATGAGGTCGGCACACAATTCATCATACTCAGGACAGAGACAGATCTGGTAAACTCAGCTGCCTTGGACAAATTATCCTCCAACTTGGAGTAGCCGGCTGGGTCGATGACTGACATGGTCCCACCCACCTTGAGGATGCGATGAACCTCGATGAGTGTCTTCATCGGGTGGGGCAAGTCATGGAGGACGTTGTGCATGAATACAAAGTCGAACTTCTCGGACCAGTCCGCCGGCAAGAGACTGGCGGACATGCAAAGGAACTGGGCATTTGTTATGCCCATCTCTTCGGCCTTCACCTGGGCGTGCCTGATGCCATCTTCGGTGATGTCGATTCCGTACACCTGACTCTTGGGAAAGTTCTTGGCAATGGCCATCGTTGAGATGCCCTGACTGCATCCGATTTCAAGAACCTTGATGCCTTGCTCTGCACAGCAACGATGCAGAAAAGTGAAGAATTAACATACACAGTTCCTGATTGCCAGAAAGTGTCTTTTGGTGACATCCAAAAGACATAAGCAAGGGCAAATTTAAGAACTGAAAGGTCAAGTCAACGAAAGTTAGTCTGGTCAACTTTTATTTCCCAGGAATTGACAATGGGTGGCTCCTGTCTGAATCTTTATTGCACCTGATGCATTCAACGGATTGGATTGTCAGTTTCTAATTCAATGCAGAAGGTGAATTTCTGACAAAACACTGTACATGTTATAACCATTTATTTGTCTGAGCAAAAGTGAATGCGCTCATTCCGATTGTGCACAATTGACATCAAAGCGGTGTTACAAATCACACAAAAGTCCTGCTTGAGCACATGTATATAGCATTACTTAGTGACATTAATTTTGTAAATGTCATTCCAGTATTAAAGTGCAATCTAAGGTGGCCATCATTTTGCATCCATTACCAGAAGGAACTCTTTCATCGAGCTTCTTCTTCCTGCCCCTCCCCCAAAGAGCGTATGCGACAAAAGGTTGATGGCTCATCCAAGTATATGATTGCCTACAAAGGCTGTAAACCCCTCCCCCACTGGGGCATATGTTTTACACTTGTGAAAAGGACCATAAAGATGGATGACATCTTTTTCGTAAGTGGAATCATTTTGCACTCTGCACGGGAGAGCACAATCTTGCTCTATGTCAGATTGCAGAAATAATTATGTGCTTGGCTGGTCTTAAATATTCAAGACTGGATCAGGAGAAATACCGTTTGAGTCAAGTTCGTAAATTATTCATTTCCAACGATTTTGGTGAACAATTTTGCTTTTATTTTCAAATACCCCTCCAGCCATGTTATGGTGTGTGCCTTTCCCAAGCACATGTAGTCTTAAATAATCTCCTAGGATGGCGATTGGCCCATGTGTGACACGTACATCATCAGGGCACAGAAAGCAATGAGCCACGGCTTTTCAACTAATAGGAATGGCTAAATTGTCTAAGGTATTTAGGATGAAATGATAATGAAAGCAATCCCTTGTTCTTTCCTGTGTAATTCTCTGGATCAACCAACCAAATGCACGTTAGGGCTTTGGAGGATGCCATATCTTGTCAGCAAATGGAGCGAATTTAAGGGGTGATATTTGCATATCAAAGACTACATATAATTTGGCATTCATTGGAGTGTGTTGCTGACCTTCACTGCAAAAATGATTTTACAGCAATGTACAGGGCACTTGTGCTAGCATAGACCACCGCCCTCTGCATATGTCGCAGTTCCTCACAGAAACCCTAACCTTTGCCCTCTCTGATGACGACGCATTTGCGACTTGCCAGTCAGTACAACTTACGCAGTTCCTGATGCACCTTAGGCATGGTGGGGATGAAATGTTGCACCAAACGCTCCCTGAAGAAAACCTGACTCATCAGGGTCATCAACTCATCAAACTTCCCATACTTGTCATAGGACACGCCTGCAGAGTGGAACGAACATTTATCAAGATTCATTCCAAATTCCAAGTACATGTACGGTACCACTGGTCGCCAGCGACATAAATTCAGGGGTTAGGGTCCGACATGTGACATTCGTCTATCCCTGTTACACCTGACATGTACACTTTGACAAGGGATACATCACTGAAATTGTTTTCCAATTCTTTTGAATTGTTTCAAGAGGTAATTTGCAGCACTTATTCAATCTTGGAAATTAAAGATTGCATTCTACACATTGAAAAATCATGTGCCAGATGCAACAGGGACAGGAACAAAATTGGACCCTAATTTACAGAATGACTCATACTGTGAAAATGTATACAAAATGTTTCCTTCCAAGTGTTCAGATTAACCCAAGTTAATTTCAGTTATTTTTCTTTGTGTACTTTGCTTTCCACTAAGAACAGGGGGGTGCTCAGAGGGCAGGGGGAGGGCACACAGGGAGCAAAGGGGTGCGCACAGGGGGAAAAAGAAGTGTTGCCACCTGCCCCCCCCAACAATTTTTTATATGATATAAAAGGAAAAAAAGGAGGAAAGCAACAGAAATAAAAAAAAGAGATGACAATCACCAATTTGCTTCAAGTGAGTGTTTTGCCCCCCTCCCCTGAACAATTCCTGGGGATGCCCTTGACTGAGAAATAAATATGATCAGAGAGCAATGTTGTATTTGAGTCCATCACAAGTCATTCAGTCTTAAGCCAATTCACAAGCTGCTCTTGTTCCTTTGTGAGCCATTAATAGTGCAGAACTCCCTCATATTTCCATCTCAGTACATGTTTCTCTTAACCACTTGCTGCCGAGTGGATTTTCTTAAGCAAGACAAGATGCCCGGTCCTTTTCAAGATTTTCCGTTTTCAAAATTCTTCAAAAATTCATCATTTCATTTAATGGCTGTTTATATCTACACGAAGGACTCTTTGGGCACTACTCTAAAGCTTACAGTTACCTTCATTGACTGTTGAATATTTCAGCCAGGCCTGCAGCCTTTGAAAAGATTGTGCGGTGTTACATAAGATTTTTTTTTTCTGAAACTGGAACAATGCACTGCTGACCTCTTTTTCAAAAGGTGCCAGATTAGCCTGCAGCAGTGCGGTGGTGGAGAGCTTTTGTCCCCGTTGGTAATGCGCTCGCTCTAAATGCCTCAAACCATGGTATACTGTTTCAAAACAAGGCTGGATTATCACCACTATTGAGAGCGAAAAAATGTCAGTAATGCCCAGCAGCTCAATCTTTTGTGCTGAGCACGGTCTTTTGTTATAAGGCCCAACTCTTCTGTCCCAGTTCCGGGCTCCATGTCTCTGCATATAAAGCCTATGCACTCGAAAACGGGTCGCCCGGCAGGAAGTGGTTAAACTTATATTCAAGAGAAGTTTCAGAATGTGTCTTGTGCAATAACATCTGCTTTTTTTAGACAGTTTTAAAATCAAGTGATTTCTTTCTCTTGCAGATGACCTTTAACCTACATGTACACTGTCCGTGTTTTTGCTAAAACCTTCCTGAATCCACAAACATCAAGACATCTGCCTTCCTCAGATCCTACCTGCCCCCCCCCCCCCGGGGCAGCAGGTGTGGAGATTCTTGGAGGATCATAAACCATCAGAGGCAAAGTTTAAACTTCTCACGAAAGTGAGTTTCAAAAGCACTTTCAATCAGACAGAATCGTTCTGATTTGTTCCGCCTTTGCAATGACTCAACAATCACAATGAAAATGACATATGGAAGGGCTGTCATCCTACCTGGAGGGCCATCTTTCTTGAAGCACTCAGCCACATCAAAGAATGCGGCACACAGGGTAGGGATTGCCCTGGTCATTGCAGTGGCTTTCACCGACCCATCAATGCAGTGGCGGTGTGGAGGGAGCCAGTACGTTTCTCTCGCTGCGTCATACTCAACAATGTTGGTCGCCACCATGTTGACCAACCACTCTCGGACGTATCTGCCAAAGAAATCATTCACGCAGCAGTGCTGTAATTGAGGTCATTAGGGCTCTCCGCAAGTCCATAACAAGTTATCCAGCCTTGAGAAAATTTAATGGCTGTTCAAAATTTCAAGTGAACTGTGACAAAAGCATTTCTTTGTCACTGATCAACCCACTACATGTACTTGTACTTGTGAAAGGAAATTTGAGATGGGACCTAACAGCAACACTGTAAATGTGCTAATTTTGGGGGGTACATGAACTACCATGGTGGTAGTGATGAAGAGAATAAATGAATGTCAGGAATATACATGTATGCAAAACAAAATCTGGTCAACTTTGAATATTTGATTATCTAAAAAGTCCATGTACACCGTACGTGCAGGATATTCTAACAGCTCCAATTAGAAGAGAGGACTGTCGAGGTGCCAAGCTCCACGCAGATTGCAGGTGGGTGTTAAATACATGTACCTCATCAACCAATGGGGGTCATGATTTGCCTGCTGTGTTAATGCGAGCAGGCCTCAAGATTAAGGATGGACGGGCGAGTTAAGCAACACCATGATGGCATCTCCTTGGATGAATCGCCACAGTGGGCGTGCAGCATAGTGATTACCGCTTGCAACTCCCAATGATAGGGTTTAGGGGTTTGAATCCTGGCAGGTGGTTACGTACTGTGCCCTTGGAAAGTCTTTTTTACCCCTCCTTGCCTTTCGCAAACCTAGCAGTAAATGGATGTCTGTGATGCCAGGGAGGGTAATGGGCCTGCAAGTTAGTGCCTGAAGTGGCCGCACGGGCCATTGATATGCCATTTGCAAGTTGAATTTGAATAAAATCTGTTAGTCTGTTACCCTGTGTTATCTGATTGCATATACGTGTAAACATAACAATTTGGTTTCCCCAGACTGAAGACACTGTTGCTATACCTTGTGATTCAGCTTTTGCATAGCGACCACCATCTCTGGAATGGACTCGTTCCTATGTGCCCTTCTTATCCATTGAGAACAGTGTATTGTTGCGAAGCATCTTTTATGTAACTTATGCAAAAGCTTGCCCTGAATCACAAGGTATAGCAACAGTGGCTTTAGTATGGAGAATTCAAATTGTTATGTTCACGGGAATTAAAGAACTCAGTAATTTCGTTCAACTTTAACTCACAAATGGCTTATTACAAGCTGCCGATGATGGAAACTCAAGCTTCCAGTTCCATGGTTCCCTATAACTTTATGTGCAGTGGGCATGGTTTAAACTTATGAACCGGGTATTCTCTGGGGAGCTGAGATGGACTTATCAGTTAAGGGCCCAATGAGCAGCCATAATAACGATGTCGGTGCATTGAGATGTTTGGTAAAATATGAGACCCACTCTGTGAAAATGAGTCCTCCATCATCACCAGAGCCACTTTTTGAGTATTAGATTGAGGATACTGAGTTCTTTGTTTTGATGTGTCACTCAGTTTGTGTCACTCAGTTTGGTTTGATGAAAATAGACTTTGTGAAGATGTTCAAATGTTGAGGATTCCTATTGATTAAACACTTTGCAAGATTCTTTCCAAGGCCTTTCAGTAAACTCAAAAGTGGCTCTGTCAACAGGTGACTCATGTTTGCACAGCCGGTCACAAGAAGGTGATAAGAACCATCCACAAGTTTTGTTGTATAATCAATCTTTACGATAACTTGAGTTACCACAAATCTACACACCTCTCCTTGTACCCACCAGCATCCGCAATATCCTGGCAGGTCTTGGGTTCTCCCAGGCTGATCATGACCCTGAAGAGTCCCGTCTCGATCCCCATAGCCACACTCATGCAGTTCAGGCCGCTTTCCACTTTGCTTGAGATGCGGGCGGTGAATTCCTCCTCTGTCTCATTGGAGAGGTCGTCGTAGTTACTACTTGCCATCTCGTTGATGCTATTCACTGATGCAGGATGGTGTCATACACGCTGCAAAAAAATGTACAGCTGCACATAAGGTGAGGATACAAGTACGCGTGTACTTATTGGCATCTTTATGACAACAAAATTCAATACTTAGGGAGCTGTATTCTCCCACACAAATGTAAAAATAAATATCAGTGAACTGGAATCTGCCGTGAGTTGAAGTGCATCCTCATCGGTGGGAAAAAAAAACCAACTGGTACGAAGTTTTCCAAGCAGGTTAGTAGTCTTTATGTTGGGTGTGGTCTTACTGCATGATTTGCTCTTCAATCTTGTAAATATTTTTCATTGGAAGTTCATTGTAAATAATGTCTTGAAATTCAACCAGTTGACAAAACCCCAGTGTTTTATTAATCCTAGTTTTCTCTGTAAACCCGTAGACCTGGAGGAGAAAAACAACATCTAATTTGCTGTCCAAGTGTTTCGATCTGTCAAAGCGTTTCATTTATCTTTCAAGAAAATATGCAAATTACACATACGGGACCCGCATGATATCCTAAGACTGTTCAAGTGTAATCTATGACCATGGTCCATGTATATCAAAACAACTGTTACCTGCTGCGACAGGGTCCATGGGCAGGTTTTGGACCCCTTTAGGGACAAATGGCACTCAAGGCTTGGGCGTATGAAATGCCACGGACTCCTTCACACGACAAGCAAAAGTATACATGTATGTTGTGTTAAAACACAGTTTTCCCTCAAACCCTGCCCTCATTTCGGACCCAACAGTTACAGGGGCAGGTTATCCCTAGCCCAGGTTGGACGTTGTCTTTACCTGAAAAGTAGACGACCTCCACTGGGCTAGGCCTACCCCAAAACTGTCACGGCGTTCGTCCTCACGACAAACTCCACAGTTCTGGGGCAGGGGTATCCTAAAATTAGCAATCAAAAAGCGACAACAATGAACGATAACATGTCCTTAAACTGTTAAAGGTCCTGTCAAGGTCTGTGCCTGTCAGCTTACATGTAAGTTGAGTATAGCCCAGGTTGGACGACGTCTACAATGCACCGCGACTAAGCAATGCAATGAATGTAGACGTCGTCCAACCTGGGCCAAGTTAAGTATAACTTCACTGAAGAAAATTCTTCGACATGGTCTTACCACAGTTAGAACAATACAAGGGTCTTACAAAGGACCTAGTCCGACCATGGTGGTCCGAGTAACTTTGACCGTAGCCTGTGCTATAGGGACAGCAGGGTCCAAGTTATTGGACGAGGTCAGTAGGTCGTCTTATTACACATGTACACAAGTCATAACCAAAGATCGTATAGCGCCGCGTAGCGGCGCAAGATGGGAAACTTCACCATGAATACGCGTAAAACGTTATCACATGGGCGCCATCCTGGTCGGACTACGACTGCGCAGTGAATGTTAATGCGCAGGCGCTGCGACAGGCACGCATACACGTACACATGAACGTCCACACTCGAATGGCGCCCTTGGTGATAACACCTTTATGGCCGAATAAATCCATCTTGCGCCGCTACGCGGCGCTATATAATCTTTGGTCATAACCTTCCTAGCCAGTACAGTCAGCTGACGTGACTGCCACGACCGGCGGTTTCATTCATTTCATTGCGTCATATGCGCTGCTACTACAGCGCCCTCATTGGATCTGCGCCCAGTGCATCCCTTTCAGCACGATTTGCTTAAAAGTACTTTTGTATGACCGGCCCTTTCCGCAGTTCATAAATGTCCAGTGAATACGACACAAAAAATTATAACAATTAACATTTGACACCATTTTATGAATTAGTCAACAAAACGAAAAGTACCTTATGGCCAGTATTTTCTACTCAAAACCCATCAGCAACAGGCGAAACGATCTTTTAATTATTGTTTTCATGGACGGGAAAGCAACATGCAAAGAATCAAACTTAAGCCGATCATGGATTGCAAATTATTTTTTAAAAAGCTAACAGGTTTCCCACGACTATAAAATGCGCCCACAGGTTTTATATTTTCAGCTAACACAGAAAATACTACCACACACATATATAAATCGAATATATTTATTATACCACATTGCAGATACCTAAATAACAGAAAATCAACAGCTGAATTGCTACAAAGTCATCAATAAGCACTGGACTATCTTGAACAGCTGACAAATATTATTTACAATAAATTATAGCATCCTATATATATTCTGTTGAAGAAATCAAATATATGAATGTTGAATTTAAGATGAGCAACCCAAAGTTTGAGTCACCAAGGAAAACAAACTTGTTGGAGAATGCAAACTTCCACAATTGACATTTGACAGGCAAAAACTGACATCTTTAATAACATATCTACTGTCCACCAGAAAAAAAACTATTACATAAATGCGGACTTATTAGAAAAACCACCCTTTTGTGATCATCTGCCAAGAATTACAATACCAGGGCTGTATATTTGAAGCACACAAGTCACACTATTAACAGATATAGGGTGGTTACCAACCAGGCAATCTTGGTCTATTTTATTTCTCTTACTTCCAAAAGCGTGAAAAAAGCCCCCAAGTTTAACCTCACTTCTCAGAACAGCCAGAAGAGGTTACATGAAGAAAGTTTCCTAATTGTTTTACCTTCCCAAACAAGGTCCCCCCGAAAATGTGGTTCTGGATCCACCCTCGGAAGCTTTCAAGATCTAAACAAGTGTAGCCGTTCAGATTTTGAACTGTTCAAAGGTTTGTAGGGAAATTAATACCTTAACTTTCCACACCTTAATCTTGAATATTGCCATCTCATTTCTGTTACAGTTCTGCTACGTTAATATGAGATATTTTGATCTCAAACAAAATTCTTCAAAATGTGTTACTATAGGTTACATGCAGCCTCCAAAGACATGAACAATTCTTGACTGCTGTGACAGCATGTTTGATTTTTTTACGCCCAAACAATGCATGTCTAGGGAAGATAGAGGGGATATGTGGCCGCAGTCAACAACTGTTCTGTCAAGTCATGCCAAACGTGGAAGGGGGTCGGTAACAGCTGGGAATTAGTGGGAAGAAAAAGCAATTAAATCACCACTTCGTAAATCTTCACTTACTGTAAGCTCTCTTGCCTGATAAAATAAAATGATGTTGCATGGCATTCCTCCACATCTACTGCACCATGCTGTTCACTGTGGCTTTGTGATGCAATGATGAGCAAGACAGTTTCCGACTGACACAGCAAACCGACATCATACTTGCTTATTTTTACAAAGATGTTGTGACAGTGCCCGACTAATAAAATTACACACTATAACAAGTTTACTCATTTGCACATAATGTAACACGCACATACGCAATGTGCACAAAGTTGCTTGGTGATGAATATTCATGGTATAATTATCAAGGCCCTGTCATCTTCAAATCTGGCCCAAATCGCAGCCGATTTATTCAATATTACAGGCAAAAATTCCAGTTTTAAAGGTAGTGCAAACCAAGGTTTTGCGTGTATCAGTTCATTTTCTTTCTTTTTTCCAAAGAGAGAGAGAGTTTGGTGGAAAAAGAAAAAAACGCTTTGACGTGTTCATGCACTTACAGCCGAAATTTGTGAGACAGCAAAAATCTGCGCCATTAGCTTTCACCTGAATATAATGAGTGTATTAAGGGCCATGGATGGAAAGACCATCATGCAATCCATGTGGTGTGATTGGGGACATTTAGCATAATGGTTCAGGTTTATGACTGGCGATCATAAGATCCGGGGTTCAGATCCAGCCACTGGTGACTTTACATGCCGTCACCTTGGACAAATCACCTTAAGCATGTTAACCTCATTTTACCTGGAAGTATACATGGGTGCTTGTGAAGAAGAGAGAGTCACTGAGCATAATTAGCAATTTGCTATGTGAAGTAACAGTATAAGACAGTATACTTCCGAGAGAGCTAGTTTATGGGCCTGGTGAGCAGGGGTAATAATAATGTATGCACCTTCATTGGTCTTCCAGATATGTCTGCAACATACATGTACATGTAAGTTATCATTAAATTGGAAGAGGATGATACAGGTCAACAAGTTACTTGCATTATGTTTCACTTTATACTTAATCATAACATCTTAAGAAATCTGTCTTTACTCCGGCCAACAGGTGCCTGATGTCAACACTACCTTGAACCTGTGCCATTCAGGGTGAGATAATGCCTGTGCATTTGAAAGTTGCCAAAAAAACGGGGAAATCCCGTTCAAGCTTGAGACAAAAACTGGGCTCCAAAGTACGAATGCAGGTAGCGGTCTCCCGGCAAGGTTTCACAGTTACTCAGCTTTTTGCCGTCAGCACGTTGAGAACTGTGTCTTCGTTGTTGCCGTGGACAATGAGCTCCCGTCTGACGTCCTCCGACTTGAAACCCAGTTCCTCAAATCGCTGGCAGAGGAGGAGGAATTCTTCAGCCTGCAGAGGCAGAGAGAGCAACACAAAGAAGTCTGAAGAATTCATTCAGATATACCTCAAAGCTTTTCCAAAACCAAAACATAAAATTTCTTTATTTTCACACCAACACTTGAGTACGTGTACAAGCACTGGCTAAGAGTTTAGATTGCTGTAAGTAAAAATAATGTCCAAATAAAAAACGTGTGACTTTTTATCACCAGACTATGCCTGATTAACTCATGGACTGGGCACGTTGCATCTTCTGTCTATCCCTGTTATGTAGACCAAGGCCCTTGATCGACAAGACCCTCTTCTGGTTACCAAAAGGCCCAAGGGAAGCATTATCAAGTGCGATTGATCAAATCAGGCCAGTTCATAGGTGTTTTATAACACACCTCTTCTCTGAGCATTTAGCAGCAAAAAAAATTTGCAAGCTTTTCAACGACTGACTCATAACAATGAACAATGCAACAAATAAAGGAAAGGTTTAGATTCTGTAGATTCAGAGCTGGGATTTTTTAGTTGTGTTTGGTTTATGAGAAGCTGCCAAATTGTGAGTACAGTATCCCCCTGGACGTTACAAAAACAATTAATGCCTTGATGCAAATGTAGATCACACTGACATTAGTCAACCCTACATGACTGTATTTAAGCCAAAAGGGCCGGCAAGAGGTGTGTTATAACTGTGAATAGCCACGAGTTAATTTAATCATAGATCATGCACTACATGTATACACATTCAGTATACCGTTGGTCTGCAGCCATAATACCACACCTTACCACAGCTATGTTAGACAGTTAACAAGGAATTACTCAGGTAATGCAAGCTACAGACTATGTCCTAACTGTTCATCCTCTGTATATCGCTATCCTGCATAATGCAGAGAGGGCAGCCATGACTGAATCAGACCAAGAAATAAACGCTGCATTGCCTACCCTCTGTATGTCACTGTTCTGCAGATTAAGAGCCAACTCCACTTGATCTTCTGGGAAACCCTTACTGCATAGATGATCCACAGCGCAAAGCCATTCAACAACCTGGATGCAAAAAACCAGGACAGTTTAAAATGAAGAGAATGAAGACTCTCCGCTCCGAGCAGGAACAAAAGAGGGCGTGTTTGAAATGAATTCGACGGTCCTTTGGTACGCATTCACTGCATAGGTGCGCAAGTTTATGCGTGTTTGACACAGAGCATGCAGAGTACGCGCAACGAATTCAGTCTGGAATGTGTGGTCTTCGGGTGCACGCCGAACGCGAGCAAGAACCCAGTTTTGAAAATTTAGTACCATCTGTCTTTCTTTCGCTGGTGAGGGCGCACTTCAGCTCACGGTGGATAAAGCTAAAGGAAAATAGTGGGTGGCCAGTTCCACATGTTTGCTGTTTCATTACCCTTCGACCTTTTCGAAATTCTGTAACTATCTATAAAATAGCAACACCTTTCACTGGTCTGTTACTGGTGACATATATAAAAACAAAATGATTAGGGGGTCCAAAGAGAACTCAGAAATAAATTCATGGATTATTTACATGGACGGTATTTCACTTGCAGCAGCATTGCACAGATATGTAGGAAAACTACAGAATGACAAAATACCAGTGCTTTACTTCTGATATCAGACTGTTAACAGTAACTTCGCTGCCAATGAGCCAGTTCAGCACTCCGACAGAGCATGCCCAAACTGATGCATGTCCAAGGTCATTCAGACAGGCATGTGAGGTCTGCCTGAGGCTACCAGCACGACCCTACATAGACTCGCAGGCATGCTTTGTTCCTGAGTGAATCTTTTTTTTCAAAAACTGAACTGGCTAATTCCAGCGTGGAAAATGGAGACAGCTTCCAAGTGCAATAAGAGCAAAAACTTTGTTACTGAATACTCCGGGTATCAAATTAATGGGTTTCCGCTTCTGTTTTTCCTACCAGTCTATCGTCATGACCAAGCTCTTTAACTGCCCGTGCCGTTCGGGACCGAGGGAAACCCATGGCAGAGATCGTCAGGACAAAGTTCCTGTCCTCCGCATTCATGCTGTTGAAGACTGGGTCCAGTGGCACTGCCTGATCATGGTCCACAGAGTTCACCCGGGACTGGTGAGGGGAGGGTGGGAGAGGAGTGTAGCGGTTCAGATTCTGGAGCAAAGAAAATTATCCTCCTTTTCAGACTTTTGGTTGAAATGCTGGGCAAATATGCAGTTGTAGCCTTCGGACAGCCTTTCAAAGCAAGCAGAGTGAGTGTGAGGGCTGAAATGGCTAATATCTGAGCTCTATTATACCATGCCAAATGGTTAGTTTTAAGGAAGCATCTCAAAAGATGGAAAGCCAAAGAATGTTCCAACAAGAGTAAGGCTTGTTCCAATCAAGACCATCTGCTGCTCTTGAATATTTGCAAATGGTCTTTGTGGGCTGACTAAAGAACAGTGCAGTCCAGATAGGATCGCAGCAACTTCTCATTAGGTATATTCCAGTGGGACAAGGAATTTTTCAATTTTTAAGATGCTACCCGAGGTTCAGAACTGAAGTTCAGTCCATCAGAGTTCAGGTCACAAGACTGATGAAGAAGAACAGAGAGAAAAAGAAATCCAAAACCTACGACAAAAGAATACCTTTGTCATTGTTCATTTGAATAGCTTGTGACCTGATTCAGGCTGGATGACTTGATATGGCTTAGTCACATAATGGACCTGCAACATAATAACGTCACACTTTGTTTACCCGTGTGCTTTCCTACGGCAATGAGGTAGGACATCATTCATTGAGTTCCCACCGGAAAGCACACAAGTATACAAATCATGACATCATTATGTCAAGTCCTACATGTGAATGTACATGTACATCATTATGACCACTGGTACGATTAGAAATGACAATGCCTGTGTTCCAATGCAGTGGCCTGTGAGTGTGACACCTCAAATACTACTCCATTGGAAACACTTCAAGAAGTACATGTAGACTAAAATCCCCCTGAAACATTTAACACAAAATTTAAAAATTAAAAAAAAATAAAAAATACTGTACATGTATTACGATTCCAACTTGAATGAAGCCTAGGAAAGTAAGATCAAACAATAGTCAATACATGCACCTTTTACACAACTGAAACACAGGCTCACAATATCAACATCACTGTGGAGGTTTCATGACAATAAATAGCCCTATTACGGTATATCCCTGGATATAGTATGTTAATTTACATGTACATGGACAGAGATGGCATGGAATATACATGTACATATGCAGTATAAGTAAAGGGGGGAAATCCAGAAACAAGAAAGTGAGCTTGGTTGAGTGAATCAGTGTACATAAGGACCCATAGAATGAACCATGTTATAACAGCATACAGATGTACCATGCCAGTCCGTGTATTTCAAACTAAAATCAGAAAAGAACACAGTTGGAGGTACAGTAATTAGGAAATTCCTCTCTCAGGCATGTCAGTGAGGCAAACAGAAGAGCTGAAACACAGGTGTTTTTAATCTTTTAACTGATGGATTCAGCAGGAACAAGGAAAGGCGGTATAGTCTTTCAGTCTAAAAGTATTGCCTTTCTTGGAAAATTGTACACTTAATGCCATTGTTTCGTGGGAAAAACGTGTAAATGGCACCATCTAAATGCAGAGAGGTGATTGCTTTTCAGATGGTGCAGTTATTAGAAAAGGATTCGCTTGCATGTGAAAGCGAAGTCAACCTTGAGTTTTCATGAGGCTCAAGTAGTGGCTCTGAGTACCAATGTGATTGTTTTTTCAGTTAATAAACATTTTACTGTTCCCAACAGTTTCCATATCTTCACAGCTTGGGATAAATCCATGCTTGCAAAAACAAATCCGGATCAGGCAAGTCTTTTGCGAGTAAAATTTGAAAAAAATCTGGTACACCAAGTTCTTTAAATTCATGTTAATGTGACAATTTGATTTCTTCCCACTTAAGACACTGTTACTATACCTTGTGATTTGGGATAAGCTTTTGCTTAGTTACATAGGAGATGCATTGCACCAATACACTGGTTTCGATGGATACATGTAAGTACATGTACATGTAGGGCACAAAGGAACCAGTCCATTCCAGAGATGGTGGTCACCATGCAAAAGCTTGCCCCGAATCACGAGGTACATGTAGAGCAACAGTGTCTTTAGTCTGGAGAATTCAAATGGTTGTTTACGTGCGATCAGATAACTCAGGCTGCAAGATTTTTTTCACCATTAACAAAAGGTTTATTACCAAAATTAATTTTTCATTAACATGAATGAACCAATCTTAACAGAGCTTTGCACATATCTTTGGGGTTAGGGATGCTATTGCTGAAAAAAAAAAATTTATCTTTGGTGAGCACTTGAACAAAAAGACCGTGCATGCCGGTACATGTAGTGGTTGAACTACAGTATGTGGAACAGTGAATGGTCACAAGTGATTAAGATTCGGCGAAAGCTGTCATTAGGCAGGGTTGATATTTTTGAGTGCAGAGTGTTTAACAAGGATTGACTGATTGTAGGTTGGAACGAAAGAGAAAGGTTAGGTTATGATGGGCTCCATGTAAATGTTATGCCGGCAAAGGCTGGGAAATGAGTTAGCAAATTTGATTATCTGCTTGCTACCAATTCTATATGTACTTGTACCTAGGATCTGACACTGTGTTTGTCATGAGGTAAATGTATCTACTACACTGTCAGGTCGTTGCTTACATTTCAGATTTACTACTGTACAGCCATACACAAACAGTGGCAGAAAGAGCCATCACTTTTTTGTTTTCAGTGAATCTTCCACAGTGAAATTCTTACATTTTCAATTTGAGTTTCCCTGTTCCAATTTTATGTTAGAAGCACGGCATCATGCTCAGTCTTTCCAAACAGTTCATGGGTAAAAATTTACAAACATGCTCGGATGGGACCCAATCCCACGACCTGCTGCTTATAGGTACAGAGGTCTTGCCAAATAAATTATCCAGCATGCAAAGGTCACATGCCAATTGCAAACTGGTTGTTAGACTTCTATTTTTTTACACAGGAAGTCTGAGCCTAATCCAAGCAAACTTGTGAAGTTTTGCTGGGTTCATAAGTTGCTAGAAACAATGAGAATATGGCACATCCCTGTATCAGTCATGTCAGTGAAGAGCAAAACCAATGTCAATGACCTTACACTACCACCATGCAAAAAATGCCATCAAATACCGAATGAAAATGGTCGTGCACTGGGATGAAACATGCATGGCTAACCTCCAAGTCAAGAGCTGGCAGAGGCGTACAGTTGACAGTCTCTAAGAACACACTCTAGGAGAGGAAGCAATGTCAAAGGAAAGCATTAACAGGACACACGGTGATGCCAAGGCACGACGGAGGCATACACAGCACTGCAAGAAATGCTCACAGCAAAGTTGTCTGTGAGGCCAGTTCAGTATCCCAACAGTGCACAAACAAAAACAAGCACATCGTACACGCAAGTCATTTGCGATAATTGATATGCACCATTGCAATCAGCCTTTACCTGCATGGCCATATAACGCACAGTGGACACGTTCATTGTTTAAGCTGGCTTTCATCATGCGTTTGTCGTGAGCGACTGCTTCATTGAAATACCAAACGGCTGAATGCAGTTGTGTTTATCAAAACTAAAATCAACTCACACCCTCTCCGCTGCTATGCAAACTCAAGCAGAAGGGAACTACTTTTTGTGTTATGGTAGTATAGTATTACATGTAAGTATAAGGTACCTGTACAATACTCGTACATGTATGGAAAGGTATCAAGGATTGGGGGAGGGAGGTGTCAGGTTGGTGCAATGTAAACTTCTATCCAGCTCTGTGTACTGGAAGATACAGGTGAGAGGGGAAGTTAAGGGGCCATGACCCTCTCAAAAGGAGCAAAATTGTTTGTTTTTGAAGTACAGTATCACGACAGAAAGGCAATTGTTGTGGACATTTTGGTTCTCCTTCCTCTCGTAAGTCTGCTAAAAGGCTGAACAAAGTGGCCCGACTCAGAAAGGTTACCTGAAGAAAATCTCACATTTCCTGGCCCTTCAAAACACCCCCTCTCCCCTAAAAATAATGAATTTTGGTTTGGTTGTTAGTTGTGTGACCAGTTTGACTTAAACCAAGGCTGACAAGGGGATTGGCTTTTTGAATTTAGACTGAATTCTACAGGTGTTTCCTCAAAGAAAAATTCTAGGGTCATCCTACATGTATAACTTCTAAATGAAACATGTATTCATCAGTCCCTCTACAGGTCCCTTCACATTTCTGGGTTTACTAGAGTAGTTTTGAAGACTCCAATGGTTTTGTGACCGGACTTCATTTAACTCAACCTCTCCCAAATCTTCAACAACGCATCAACCCAAGCATGCCTTCCCAGTAATCTGGAGGGACATTCCCAAAAATTACAAATGTATCTCCAAAATTTCCTAGTGGATTCTGAAGGAGGTGGGGGACCTAACGTTAATCCCGCTCTCCTATATGTAAATGCAACAAAGCCCAAAAGATGTTAAAGCCCTCGGTACATTGTGACATTTACCGGTAAATGTACATGTAGCTGTTTTGAAAAAAAATACCTGATGCTGATTGGGGTTAATAGGAACAAAATGATTCAGTGAAACTAGGACTACTTTATATCTTACTCCTCACCTGTGGATAGCTTGGTGGAGGTTCGACAGGACTGAGTGCCGGCGAAGTCCTGGATTGAGTAAAGTCCTGAGCATGATAGCTTGGTGGTGGTGACCTACTGCGTGTGGGAAGCTGAACAGAGTGATCCATCATGGGACCTCTAGCAATCAATCGGGAAGGTTCTTCCCCTGGATTGACGGCCGAAGCACTGTCCCTTTGAGATGAGTTAATCGGAGGCAGGGGACTCCGAGCAAAAGGGTCAGAGTTTCTTGCCGGTGTTTGACGCACAGGGCTGGTCACAACTTGACCGTTAGTCACTTGATTGCTGGGTCTGTTTATCCCTGTCGACCCACTTTGCGGCTTACTGGGGTGTTTGTCTGGTTTACTGGGTTTGTACGAAACCTGAGTGCTCGAGGCTTCAATGTTGACTGTGTCCGTTTCCGTTTCGAATGGACAAGCATCAACCTCCAGAGACAGGTCAGGGGATCGCAGTGGTTGCTCGGTTGCCACTGATCCTGGCTGAGCTGGGACATTTGTAAAAGCCAATACGCTTTTCAGTTCCTCCAGGTCGTTGATCGTTTCCAGCTCTGTCGACTCAAACGGATCCGAGGCATTGCTCTCGAAATCGGCCAGGTCAAAGTTCTGCTTGCGGTTTGCAGATGCAGCTGGTAGCCTGCTGCTACTGCCACTGCTGCTATTGTTGGTGGTGGTCAGGGGAACCGGTTTCATGATGTCACCGCCAAGACTGGCCATCGGTGGAATGGAGTGGTTTTTCGGCTCCGACTGGCTGGCTGGAGCGTTGGTCGGTTGCAGGATTCCATTGGGGAGCTGGACGGGGCTGGTAGCTGCGGCTCTCTGTTCTTCCATGGCCTGTTGCCTGCTGGCCTCCTTAGCTGCATCTGCGGCTCGCTGGGCTTCCAGAAATTGCAGGAATGTCCGCTCTGTTTCAAACGAGTACTGCATATTGGAAATTAAGAGAGCAAGCCAAATTTTAACCGAGGAAAAAGACCATCCATTTGTCTGGCCATAATTTCTCTTTGAAAAAAAAAATTAGGAAAATGAGAACTGATATTTGACCTACAGTATGCTACCACCAATCCAATGCTGGTCTTAGCAGTATCCATTTGAAATGTCATATGGAATACGTCAATGGTTTACTGCATGTTGCTAGTTTTTGTTGGATTCTGAAAACATCCAGACAAAATTACCAAGCAACTTAAGGTAGAGGATATTCAACCAACATCAGCACTTCTTCCTTTTCTTGCAATGTTTTCCTCTGGGGTGGACCCATCTGCTTTTCAACTTCAATACATCACCATGAACTTCAAAGCAACTTTCATCAGCAACTTGTCAAGAATTGCATTGGAAATGGCAGAAAATAAGTTGTCGGATTTTTGAAGTCAACCTACTGTGCTCAGGCCGTACAATCTGAAATTTTGAATAAATCACAAAAAACCGTAATCATGAATCAGAGTGATTCACTCACCTGGGTTTCATTCAGTATTGCAGAAGGGTTTGGCTCCTTGTAACCCAAAGGTAAAGAGACTTTCTCTGGTGGTTTAAAACGTTCCCCAAGACGCACCTGAATACCGTCCAAGCTTGTCACTGCAATGGCAAAGTGGGTGGAAGGATATTCCATTCACAAACAGTACAATGTTTCGTTTCGTGCTGCTAAACATTCTTTACATTTGACGGATGAGCTGGGAAGCAGTAAGGCTACTGTATGCTTGTTTCCATGGAAATGTGGTAGAGTCCACTAGCGTGGCGCACTTTGAAAGTTTTCCTTAGCTTTCCTTGTGTGCACTATTGCCAAACCACTTCAAAAAACTTCAAATTCATTCAATTACATACTGGAACTGTTACCTTCATAACACAATGCCAAAGAACCTTTTTTGAACGATTTCAGTGTCATGGAATTTAGTTCAAAATTTAAAAAGTGATGTCTGGAAATTGGGCACAAATTAAGTGGTGCTTTTCACTAAGTATTCCCTGGCATCGTATTATGCAGGTAATAATTCTGCTATTTAAATGAGGGAATTTGGCACAGCTTTCTTACACGGTGCATTGAACGAATCTCAGAAAGTTCCACATTACTGGTAACTACATGTATTAACAATTTCTTTAAAACTGATGAATTCTGATAAGTTCTTATTATCTACACTTACTTCAGTACAGGTACATGTACATACATGTACATGTACCCACACCCAGCTACAAGTTTCTGAGAAAATTATTTTCTTATTTTTGGGTACATTTTAAAAGAATTCCTAGTGCACTTCTAAAAAGGAAATTGGAAAATCAGGTCAAAAATAAAATTTCATTGCAAGTTTGAAGTGGGCATCCTCGATAAAATTTCACTTCTAGTGAAATTTAAGGAAAAAATATATTACTCTAGCAAAGCACTAGAGTCAAAATCAAGGTGTACCATATTAGGGGCTGCACTATGTTACATATTGATGTACATGTAGAGGCCACAACATGTTAGGACATATCAACAGCACACGTTACTCAAAGCCTACATGTACATGTCCACATACATGTAAGTCAAAGGTCCCTGCACATCTGCAAAATATACATTTAAGCTCACAGCTGACACAAACTGTTTTAAAACTAGTTGATTAAGATTCATTGCTAATGGTAAGCACTACCAAGAAACTCAGACAAGGTCAGTAGTCCAACCATAAATGAAGATTTTACATGTGAGCCGCTGTGTCCAAATTATCTAGCTGCGGCTAAAAATAAAACATGCAGACTAGGGAAGCTACTGGCTGGGCCTTTCCCTTTTCCCTCAGAGGTGGGTCCTTTTCCCAGTCACAACCACATAGTATAAATGTACATGGTAATTTAGGCACAGGTCCTACCTGAGAGAGAACGGCCCAGTGACTGGGAGTGGTAAGCCATGATGATTGCACTCGGAACCTCCCACAGCTGATGGTGAATTGAACACTCCGCCCTGACAAGAGTCAGCCAAGCCTCTTGAAGTTCTTACTTCCTCATTCAACGGCCATTCACAGTGTTTCAACTTGTGTAATGAATGTAAGTGGTGTTAAAAGATACAAGTTTCACATCTGAAATCCTGGGAGTGAAATGAAAGTTACTACAATTAATAGACTGACAACATGTATGGTTCATGTAGATGTACCATATGCCGGTAACGGGCACAATCCACTCACCTTCCGTATTATGATTGTCAATACTCAATAACCACTTTTTGTACTTCCCTCTTGGGAGATTTGTTTTTTCAGTTGTGGTCTTGTCTTGTTCACTAGGACTGAGTCAATTCGAATAGTTCACTGTTTCAATATTCGACCTTCAATTCGATCGAATATCCGAATATTCAGTCTTACCGACCAGCAGATTGTTGACGATGAAACCATATACAAAATCAGTTGCAGTAATGCACACAATTGTACATTTTACATGTACATGTAATCACTATAACAGCTTTTCATGTCTAGGAGTATCTCCAGCCACGATTTAGCAAGATCTAAGAGATGAACAATACTTTTGCCCTGTAGAAAATTTCTATTCCTTTTCAATTTTTTAACTCTAACCCCCTAGGCATGCTGGGGTGTATGTAAAATCATATTGAAATCAGAGGATTTGGGACTGTTAGAGGTGAATAATTTGAGTAGTTGTAAGATTTCTGTCACTTAACATTTGAATCTGCGTGAAACAAGCCACCATGATGCAATTTTTCTTTTTTAAAACAAAGAAAACTTTTCCCTCTGTTTTCAGGAATTTTGCATTTGAATATTCAAATTTGGAAAATAATATTTGAATATTCGATAATCGATTGAATATTCGGATATTCAGCACAGCCCTTTTGTTCACATAGGTTGTGTTTTCCAGAAGTGTCAATCTTGTCCTGGAAAGTTTTGAATTTGAGTCCCTGATTCATGTCATGCAGCCATACATGTACATACATGCACAGCGTACATACATGTATGTACCTGTGCATGTACGCGTATGTACTCGACAATGCGTCAGGCAAGTGGACAAGTCACATGATGAAGCTGTGCGGGTATGCGCAGTGAAGCGATTGAATGAAACAGATGTTGGGGGTTTGTGAAGAGTCGCACATCCCGCACCTGTGCATCGATGATATGCACACTCAATCCCAGGAAGTACATGTATATGCACAGTATTGGAGTTTTCACTCCATAAGACCAACATGACCGAAGGCGAAGCTGCTTATGATCCTATGCCTGACTACCTGAAAAATTCCAAGTCACTACTCCATGTGACTTGGGGCAATTGTTGTTTACCTGGCGTCTTAACGCAACGAGTTTTTTCATCAAGCTTTTGTGGTAACTGGAAGGTAATGCACACCCTGCCTTTTCATGCAAATTTTCCCATGAGAGCAACCATGAGGTACCGGCGCCTACCGTATGCCTACTTATACAGCTCATGAAAATGGAGTTACAGAGGTTTCTGACCATGAGACCACGTATTTTGGGAAAAACCTGACATTTTTACTCACCAAGGAGAGGTTGGTTTTTCAGGTCAAATTTTTCCAAACGAGAGGTTTCTACCTGACGACGATCGCACCTTCTGCTCTTACCACGTTGCACATGCGTTGGGCCTAAGGCCATGCTTGCTCCGCATTTCGGTTTGACCACTTTCAGAGGCATGGAGGAGGGATGACATCTTGTTTTCAATGCGCAACCATCCTTGCAGTGTGACATGTACATGTAAGCTGATACCATCATCAGGACACATGACAGGTGCTGCACTGTGTACCTGTGACAGATTGCAAGATCTTACAAAGCCCCCTTCCCAATCTCCGAAAATGGTCGAACCGAAATGCGGAGCATGCTTGGCCATGGGCACGACACATGCGCAATGTGATATATGTAAATACAAACGTTGGCCATCATCATTGGTGCTGCTGGAAACGAGAGACTGGTAAGTAAAACAGGTCAGATTTTTCAAGAAACAGGCCTACTCAGTCTCATGGTCAGTAATGGTCTGAAACCTCTGTTAGTATTAGGCGAGCCTACATCATTACATGTCATGACATGTAGGCCTACATCTTTTTTGGCGTCTGTAAACTTCGGGACTCCCCTGATTTTATCATTTGTACAAAAGAGGTCGACCTGCAAAGGAGTACAACCTCAGGCAATGTTCTCTTACTGATGCTGACCCTATTTTTTGTGAATTTAGATCATTCATTGTCAATAGGCTGCATATTACTGGTTCGCCTAAGAAAATGCAACTTTCTTACCTGATTTGCCAACACCGACACCAGATCGTGATGTCACTGTGGTTGTTTTTACCACAGGATTTCCCTTATAACAGCATAAATCAAAACCCTACCTTCTTTCCACAAAATTAATCCTGCAGTTATTTAGCATGGAGACAATGCAACGTTACATGTTTCATGATGTAGGTCTAACGTTAATCAGGTAGGTCAGTATTTGGTATAGGCCTAGCCCTAGAGTAGGCCCTAAGTAATGGCTGAAAATATACGAATGACGTTATGACAATGATTACCTCCCAAAAATCCGACAGAATCAGGGCTAGGGTTTTTATATTCTTTTCAAAGAGAAATTAGATTGAATTATGTTAAAAGATTTTACTGTATCGTGTGGTATAACAGTCATTCATATTCGGCCATAGACTTCGTGTAGTTTCCTTCTTCGACTCGAGGCAGCCATTTTAGTTTATGCGATGTCATTTCAATATTTTTAGACTGATGACATCACTGGTAGTGGTACACGGTTGCTTGCGACACGACATGAATTCACAACAGACTAGACGCGCGCGCGTGAGTACGTATGCACATGTACAGGTCACCAAGCAATCTTTTTCGGTAATAGACCTGCCGGGGACCTGTGAATCAGCTGTGTCCATGTAGCCTGGCGCCTTATGAAAATAGCAGGATAGAAAGAATACCTAAAGAATACTTGTATACAATAGAATTAGACTTCAAGTTCGCGAGTGCGCCACCAAAGAATTGCACCTGTCAATACAATTATTTTCTAGTTCTTCTAATTACGACAACAACCTTCACTATGGGATGTATTACGTTGCAGATGCGTGGTGGCTACTGGCTCTGTGGTCCCCTCGTTGATGATAATATGTCAATACTAGACAGTTTTGTTTAAATTTGAAGGTATCAATATTTGAAGCTTCCCTTATTTCGGCCGGCAAATAATTCCATAAGGCCTACACAAGCTGAGGGTCCTGGGTATGAAAGAGAACTTGTAGGACCTAACAGTCTTTTCGTGCCGATTGATGGGAAAAGGAAATAGAAGATGTTTTTCGTGTTGTAATCCCCTCTCTTTCAAATTTAACCCAGTAATGATCTGTGTTCACTGATACTTGATGATGGATGGATTTATGCAATGAAGTGAGTCTACTGATGGCTCAGACTACGCTCCTCTAAAAATTTCCATCCCAGGTTTTGAATCATTATAGGAAACATTGCTTTTTTGTCGAAAATCTCTGCATACAAATCTTGCCGCTCTCCGCTGGACTGCTTCAGTCTAGTCTGTTTTTGTGATCTTAGTGGTATTCCGGTTTAGGTCTGACTAGGGTTTTTTTGGGCCGATCTCTTCACCCTTGGGGAGCAGCTGTAGAATTTCTACAAAGTAACCTAACAATTTTGTTTGCCTTTGAAGAAACACGGCTATTCAGCCCAACTCAGTTTGTGATTTATCTCTACTTCTAGGTAAGTATGGCCGCTATTTTGTCTTCTGGAGCGGTTTTCCATTCATCACGTAGGTAGACAACATAGGTTTATTCTTGTGAGTAATATGAAAAGTATAATTTTTTTTCCGATGTTTAAATTTCATCTGCCAACTTGACTCCCATTTGCCGTGCATGTTTATGTCGTCTGGTAGAGCTTGAGCATCACTCCTTGTCTTCATTTCTCGATACAGGATACAGTCACCTGCCAGTGATGTAATTTCTGAGCTAAGGTCGTTATTGAGGTATAGTATGAAAAGCAATGGCCCAAGGACAGTGCCTTGTGGTACTCGATCTAGAGGTTACTTCCAAAACAAATTTTCTGTGATCTTTTTTGCTAGGAAGATTCTGACCCATTCGAACAGTGAAATGAACCAGAGATCCCGGCTTGTTGGAGTTTCAGGAGGAGCCGCTAATGTGGTACGCGATCAAAAGACTAAAATCCATTATAACGACATCAGCTTGCCCTTTTCTGTCAACAATCTTGGCCAGATCATTGATGGTCAATATTAGTTAGGTTTCACACGATTTTCCCTGTCTTAATCCATGTTGCTCTTCAAAAAAAACGTCATGTTTGTCAAAGTGTTTCAAAGGGTCGACAAGTTTCACGTATTGTGCTTGGCCAACGCGTTACAAGCTCTTGGAGGCGCACTATTGTTAATAGCCCGTAATGGTTCCAACCCCCACCTTTCGAAATTTCATGGCCATGCAATTTTGGGATATTTGAATTTGTCGCCCTAACCACCGCCCACTTGCTGACATAGATCTACGCCTACGATAATTTCCACCCTTATTTAATGTTTCAAATTCTCCTCAGATTTTTTTGTACCAGGGAATCCAAGTCTGTTCCTGGCTACACTTCAAGTGATGACTGTAATGGTAATCTCTGAGTACCTCACGCAGGAGAAGATCAGCAGATATTTTTATGGAGGTTTGCTAAAAGCGAATGCAGCTTCGGGCTTATTTGGCATGATGTTGGGGATATTAAAAGCCTTACTCGTGGTCCCGAAATCGTAACTTTTATTTTATGGTGATGTGGTGCTAATATTTGATACATAAATATTAAACCAAAAAAATAATAAATTGATATTAAAATGAAAATGAGAGTGACAAAATTCATCGGGGAGGGATAAGTCCCCCCCCCCGCTGGATACACCACCGCTGTCTGAGGGGTGCACTTTTCGAGAGCAAGGGACGGTATATCTTCTTACTTGGCCGCTTTCATTGTAGGAATACACGTATGCGCCATTAGTGTTCGCTTCTAGAGGCGGATCCAGACATTTTCGTAAGGTCAGTAGGCAAAAAAAGGACTATACAGCCTTTCCATGATCTTTCTAAAACCTATAAAAGACTCCGTAGTCATTTGTTTCGCCCTCAATCAGGACCTGTTATGCTCTTAGCTAAGCGTTCCAAAATAGCCGGCGTTGGGTCAGCACCTCGGAGCCGTCTTCTACCGGTCTGCTCCTCTTCATCGCCGGACCGTGGCCGGGCGCTGAAGCATAATCCACCATTTTGGTTCCAACAAAAGCACTCATGTCGCACCTTTTTAAACAGCTCTGGCCCTGGTACCGTCAATCCTTCCATCCTGAGTTTTACTCCTTTTATTCCCTCTAATTATCTTCTCTGATAAACTTGGGTTAGCGTTCATAAGGGTCTCAGGGACTTGAGGCCCCATCCAAGAGTTGACTCCATTTCCCTACTTTACTCAGAATTTACTTGTAAGTTTTGGTTCAAATTTGGTTAAAGGAATAATACTCTATCAATTTTGTCCCACACAAACTATTTCGACGTAGAACGTAAATGCACCAAAAGTGTACTTATTCGCCTTTGGACTGAATCGAATCTGTAGGGGCTTTTATAATTAAGTCGACAATCAGTCTTTATTTTTCGGGGTATCTGCATAGGTTGGGCGCCTATAGATAGATCAGTACTAGAAATAACTATTTTTTGTTAGACTGAAAGCACACATGTGGCGTAGTGGTGCCCATCTCCGATCCGAGACAATGAGTTGTTATCAGATTACCATGTGCTCCAAAGTCTTTTGTCGAAAATAACGAAACTAGCATATGGCAACTGCAGCTGTGAGAAGCAAGACGCTTGTAGGGGAGATAACGAGACGAATTTAGATACAAGATAACGGTTACAAATCTTGGGATGATACTATAATTAAATTGCAAATGGCTTTTCCAATAACGAAACGGCAAACAGTAATATCCGACCGACCTCAGTTGCAGAATACCCCGCCACCCTGGATGAGGTCAAACTGTCATACTGTTTACATGGGGATTTTCACTTCGTACCCAAGAAACAGTTTCTTTCTTTTTTTCCTTTTTCTTTTTTTTTTGAGTGGCCTGGCATTCTGCAATTAGTCCGTAATCCGTAAACGCCATGAAAAAAATGTTTAGCCGGTGTCAGTCATCTCAGTCATCAAGGCCCTATCAATTAATGATGCCTGCACCATTATACGCAAAATAGCAGTTCGTCAAACACAGCGTTTAGCCAAGAGAATAGGCTGTGAACATCGTCGCGTTCAAAAGTGCATCAAAGACACTCCATAATTTTCTCATCCTAATCACCCTACCACCCGCCTTCAACGCAAGGCCCACGGTAGGGCAACTGATCAACACGTATAGGTCACTGTTACAGGTGCGCGCAAAATGCAAAGTCTGCCCTATTAAACTGAGATGTGCACGTTTTGATCCGAGAAGGAAATAAGCCCAAACACTGGTAGCGGATATCTGTTGGACCCCTCCGCCAACCCCGTTCCTTTTTACTTGGGATGAGCGGCTACGATCTCATCTGCACCCAGGGGTGAAAAGGGGCACATTTTTACAAAGCAACGACTATCCTTTGGTGAGAACTCACAGCGCATGCAAAAAGGTTCATGCGCTTTTGGCGCGGGCGTATTTCGTACGCACGGCCAGTTTCTGTTTATATTGATCTGTATTACACAGAATGTATGGCCTCCGGGCAGGTGGACCAGACTGGTCGAAACACTTCCCACCCTGCGTGTAACTAGAAGTCCTTGCTGGGAAGGGTGCCCTTTAAATTGGAGCGGATAATTCTTGAAAGCTATATCAAGGCCAACCCTTTTATCATTAGTTACCATAAATAAGCCATAGACTTGAGGGCTAATGCCCAATACGGCTTTATTGGTTTTACGTCCTTGATTAAGTCCTAGGTTACTACAATAACCGCCTCCATGCAAGTGCCACCTTAAATGATCGCAGCTGAAGTCCCCCCCCCCAACTTAGAGCATTATTAAAGCGGCGGCTGAAGCTCATGCAGCACACTGCAACTCTGACGCCAGAGGTTAACAATAATTTATCCAACATCTTTTGAGAAACATCAAGGTGAAAGTAAGATCTTATGATGGCGAATCGTCAGTGGACAGCTATTATCGACTTATTGACTATGGTGGAGATTTTCTTGGCAACATGTTGTATGTGTGGGACGATATCAACCATTTTCAGGGCGACAGAGGGCCGCACCCTGATAGGTCACACCTTCATGGAGATATCAGGCATATCTGCCGTCAAATGCGTGGTACTATGCCTTTCTTACCATCATGAATGTAGATCTATTAGCTATGATCATATGAATGCGGTATGTCGGATTAACAACGCATCCAAGGAGGAATTCATGACTACGTTTCATCCAGAGCCTAACTACACTTTCTACGAAAGTGATAACTCGAGTCAGCTCGCCAGAAACTGCCTGGTAAGGTAACAATTTAGTTGCCTCGTCTGATTTTACAAGCACGCTTCGCATTGGATGTTCTTTTCTAACTTATATCATGGGCTTTATGTTCCTCGTAACTGTAGTATGGTGCCTCAAAGACCAATAACAAATGGGGCTTTTTTGCACGATTGTGCTCGAATTAAATAAACACGAATCGAAGAAATTTCGATATATTTATGAAATATCAACATTCCAAGGAATCCATAAAACCACGAAAACTTGAAGAGTAACATGCAAAGGCTGATATCATGGTATATGCATGCAGTCTTGATGAAGATAGCTGTCATTGAAACCAATTTTTCAGGATGCAATGCAATAAATTCTTCTGTTATTTCTAACCGTTATCCCTTTGTTGGAAGAAATAATGTTTATCCATTCATTCATTCATTCATTCATTGCGGTTTATTTCATTACAAATACGAAACAGAAAGTCACTTGACTAAAAATGTTTGATTCACAATAAAAAGAGGTGACCTTGAGCAGTGTGAAGAAAAATTAATAAATACACTACATAATATGTATTTTAAAATTGACAAAAAGTAAACCTTTTAAAAAAACGCTGAGTTTAAAATGTGAAGCCAATTATGCCGTCGAGAGAACTGGTTTTGAAGATTTCTGGGGTTGATTGTTTAAAAAGGTTTCAGAATATATATTTGCACTTAGTTTATATCTTTGTGTTCTGCAATACGGTAGATTCAAGTGATTGGAATTCCTGAGTGCACGATCCTAAAGCATTTGGCGAGTTGATGGTAAACATTGGTGGTGTCTAGGAGATGATGACAATGATATGGCAAAATTAATGATTGATTGTATTCGTCCGACAGACAGCTCCTGCAAATCAAATTTACGCAAATTCGGGTATACATGATGCAAAGTGCGCGTTTCTGCACTCTTTTTCCAAACGCTAGGCCTAAGACTGATTTTTTGTAAGCCAGAAGACCAGATAACTGCCCCATACTCTAAAGTTCGAAGAGTATACATTTTGTATATTAGGATAAGGTCATCAAAACTAAGTTAACACCCTTTTTCAAATGTTAATGTAGTTGGAACAGGACCAGGATTACTTTGAAAGTTTGAATGTCTATGTATATGGTTACCTCCATTGGTGGATCAAAACCGGGGATTAGTTAGCACAGTTGTCCATGCTTGATCCATTAAAGTTTAGTCACCGCAGCCGAAGGCTTAGTATGACAAAACCCATGGGTAGCCAATTGCACATTCTTTCCAGTTCGTGCTTTAAAATTCCACATTGTCATGGAAGCGTCGGAATAAAGATTAGCCTGGCTACGTGCCACACTCCAGAGATGTGAGGATGAACGATGGTGATAACGAACTACAGAGAGCCGTGTACACAACAATACACAAACCAGCCAGCTCTGCAACATGGCCGCAATATTGCACTTTCCTCGCTACAGTCCAGGTCTTCAGATATATTCACTCCCGTCGCAATTCTCACAGTGACGATAATAAATATAAAACCTGAGGCAGCAGTACAGGCGACATTTAGCAGTCAGATATTACACGATTAAGACAATAATCACTAAGAAAGCAGGTAAAAATTACATGAATACAACTTGAATAAAGGGCATCAAAAAACAAAGTGACAGCTGCAAAGAGCGCCTTCCTTGCATGCCCAACGAAAGGGGAATTTTTGTTATTCATTTAATGAATAAAAGAACTTTCAAATGAATTAAGAAACTTGTCTTTTTGTTCATTTCCACGCACAGTCCTATGGTTCTTCACCACATCCTGAGCCCATTTCATCATCAAAGACAGGTAATACTTGCAGCATCATATCCTATACCATGCGTAGGTTTCTGTCGACGTAAAATTAACATTGTGATCAAATCTCGTGAGAAATGGAGGTTTGTGTTGAAATGCCTGTTTCCAAATCTTTCTTTACCCTTAGTCTGTGACTGTTCTACCAGTCAAGCAATGGGAATGGAGAGTGGTCAGATACCAGACAACAAGATTTCTGTTTCGTCTGTCCGCGATGGTTTCTTTGCAAACAACACCAGGCTAACAAATGGGGGTATGCTCGTTTGTTATTGTTAGAAACTTCGAGTTGTTATAAGCTATACCACAAATTGGTAACGCTTATAATTAACATTGTCAACGAGTTTTTCTTACAAGAAATAGAACAATGCACCCCTAACGCTTTACATGTGCCCCTTGCTCATTTGGATTCATACTTAATGTTAATCTGGCAAAAGGTTGAAGCGTTACATTTAACTTACAACCGAGGTGTGCAGCGTTTCTTGTTCATGAGCAAAGAAGTGACGTCCTTTAGGGTGTCATCCTTTTTTTCTGACTCGGCAACAAAATTGTACGTTTCCAAGAAACACAAAGTGAACACTGTAAACTTACTTCGAGATCAAAGCCATTTAGTGGATACAAACTACACTTTGGCCGCAGGTTGGTGTGCTGCCGAAGATGACCCTCATCCATGGGTGCAGGTAGACCTCGATACCCAAGCCTGTATAACCAAAATCAAGTGCGGGCCAAGAACGGATTTGACACGTTACATCGACACCTACAAGGTACTCTACAGCGACGACGGGGTGAACTTCAACACCTTGCAAAATGGAACCATGGATATATTGGTGAGAAATACCATATCGAGTGACTGGGAATGATCACACTACGCGGGTGTTTCCCGTGGTATTTTGCCCACCCAAAATAACGTCATTTTCCCACTAAGCCTAGTGTTGATAACCCATGTTCTCCTTGCTTGAAAATGATAAGAGAGCATTTGTGTTCTCGAACTTTCGCCAGAATTAGTGCAAAGTCCGTTTAGTGTTTCTGAATTCTTTTAATCGTTATAATTGACAGCGATATGGCATGCAACAACATCAAAATATACGACAATCAGTAAATGGAAACGACACCCCCCCAAAAAAAATCTATAAAATGTCATTCTCCTCGCATAAAAATTTGGTCCTTCGTTATTTTATCCATGCAAATGTTTTTGTATGCATACCCGATCCGACTAACCACTGCCGTTAAGGAGTAAACATGATTTTAGCAGGTATATACAGGGTGTCCCAGAAAAAACCAAACCCTGAGTGTTACAACTGAGTTTGGTGCCCCATTTTCAAGACAATGGTGTTCAATCATGCATGACAGGAGGGATACCATCAAAGTATCATTAGAAAGAATACTGCTTCTACTTTTCAGAGATCCTTATACATTAAACTCATATCTCATAGTTTGGGCATATTAACCCCTTTCCTCAGGGTTTGGTTTTTTCTGGTACACCCTGTATATATGCGAAACATAGCTCGGGCAGCCTTTTATTGAGAAGTCATTTTATTGAGAAGTCATGTCGCGGACACAACGGGGAAAAAAGTCGTTCCATCTGGGTCGCTTGAAGTAGTGCATGTTCGAATTAAGGAGAATTCCTAAATAAGGCTCTTTTATACGTTTTTCCTATACAGTTTGATTAATTTTTGGTTACTGGTTAGTGGCTAATTTGTTTCATGCCCAAATTTGAGGCGCTAAAGTTCGTTTCATTCTGGGGAAACTTCAACACATGCATTCGACGTTGGTCAGCCCCGCTTATAAGCCTGGCGAGTGTATCGCATACTAAATGCAATAAAATAGTACTCCCGCCTGTCTTACAATAGGAATGAATTCGTTGTAAATGGCTCGTTTATTTACGTGGTGGGTAGTCGGATCGGGGGTGTAAACCAGGATTTTTGTATTCGCTCGGTTGCAGTTTGACGGACCACGGACGGCAAGAAGCTGGGCAGAAGCGACGCTGCCGACGGCTGTTTCCGCAAGGTTCATTCGCCTGCTGATCGTCAACACAGAACAAAGCAGAAAAATCGACGCCTGCTTTAAATTTGAACTGTATGGATGCCGGAACTAGCTGCCGTGCGTGCAAATGTGATGGTTTAGCATTAGACACAAACACCTTATGTGGTTTCGATATTGCAAAGAGCGATACCAAAATTCGGTACAAGGCCTCACTTACAAAGTTTGATAGAAATAGAACAATGTGCAAAGGCACACAGGCAATGGTGGATATGATTACATTTCATTAATATAACCAAAATTAGAAACAGTGCACAAAATATGTAAATAACAGCATCAGTAATCAGGCTCAGATCAGAAGTGGGGTTGGGGGTCCGCATATGGAAACGTTGGTCTCATCTGCTCAAACACTGCACACTGCATATTTGGCAAATTTTTGTGAAAACACACAGTTTACTGAAAACCTCGCAAAGTGCTGAGATCGGTGCAAACAGATTTTGCTTTAAAATCTAGTCACTGAAACAAAATCACACGAAATGTAAATGTCATTTCGGAAAATCGGTTTTTATACCCCAAAAAATGACAATTTTGTATTGAGAGGAAGCGAAAACGGCCCATTTCGCGGTGCCCCTCGGTGTTTCTCAATCCTCAACCGTTTCCTCTTGACCCAGCAGCCTTGACGTGACCAGTTTGAGGATGGTCGGGGTATAAGCTTTCCATTGATACAACACTCCGCATGATTGGTTACTTACTTTAATCGAAAAAGTATATAAAAGTCTCCACCAACAGAATTGAGCCTCTGAAATGACCTGGGCACTCTAGAGTTGAGGAGATGTCCCGGGTGTTAGACGCGAAAACCACTTGCATACGTCAACAAAGATTCAATTTAGCCTTTTCGTTACAAAGTTCATTCGTTTGTACACATTTTAATATAAGAGCTGATTTATAATACACCATTGTGCCAACACATTAGTTTAAAGACAAATATAAAGTGAAGATTGAGAGTTTTGCCAATTTTACGGGAAGGCACGTTGTAAGTTTAAGGAAGCCTGAATTCCCCTGCCTCGTAAACAATCGGCTATGTTTTCCACACCCAATGCGCTCGTCAGTATGTTTTAATTTTTTTCTTATTTCCTTGGGTTAAAGGAAAGTGGACAATTTTGTCCAACAGTTACTTGAATGAGAGGAACATTGAAAACCGATTTATACGTCCGTCCATCCTTGTGTAATCGTTTATTTACCCATTGTTGATAATGGAATAAACCACCAGTGAAGGTTAGGAAGTCCACTGAACTGTGCCATCCATGCAAGCGACCACCTTACGAGCACACACAAGTAGGCCAATCTTTTAGGAGACAAATCGGGCCAAACGTTTCCATATAAACCCCCCCCCCCCGCTCACTGGCCAATTTTTGTGTTTTAGGGGCCTACGTCTAAAGGCCATTAGAAGAATCCTTAAAAAACCATATAATTATGCACAGATTTTTTTTCATTTATTTCAAAACATTTATGCAGGTTAACATTGTTCAGCTTTAGATGGTTTTCAATATAGCCCTGTTATCAAAATTACACGTCTACTAATATGATTAAAAAGAAAAACACACCAAAAATATAAAAAAGGAATATTAACTAAAAGTTACATCCTGTAAACTGTACTCTGATCGGGATTCATTTAAAACAAACGTTTTAAGTTTTTTTTTAAAGGTGGTGACACTATTTACACTATCTTTAAGGAAATCAGGTAAGTTGTTCCAGAGTTTGGGTCTAGCAAAGTTTAGTGAACATTTTGCTCGCTCAGGTCTGGGGATGGGGTAACATAAATTCATTGGATGAGACCTAGCAATAATACTGTTTGGTGTGAATTTGTAAAACAATATTATTGGTGAGGTAGCTTGGGGCCAGACCATGGATACCTTTGTACATTAATTAAGACCGTGGTAAATTAATCCCTCCGCTGAGTAGCATCCATCCATCCCAACAACTTGGCCAGGCCAATTTCTTCAGAGCTCAAGTAGTCATAATTTTCTAAGATAACTCTGGCAGCATAATTCTGAAGTCGCTGAATACAAACCAAGTTCTTTTGGGTTGTAAATCCCCAAATGCTAATGGCGTAATCAATACATGGTTGGGTGGTACCATTAAAATTGGTCATTAACATGTCTTTAGAAGTCACACCCTTTAATCGCTTTAATTCTGAAATGGAGCTACTCAGCTTAGCCGAACTTAATTCCAAGGTAGTCCACTGCATTAACTTGTTAAAGTTGGTCGACATAAATAAAAAAGTTCAGTTTATTATCTGATCTTTATGCCTCGAGTTTATCATCATAACCATAGATTTATTTGTATTTAAGACAAGATTATTCACCGTGTACCATGTAGGGGATTTATTTTCCATGCATGGCAAGGACGGTTAAGGACGAAAAACAAAGAATCTAGATGACTCTATACTATTGGCAGCAACTACATGCAGTAATATAAGGCTCTCTTGTACGAACAAAACATTCTCTAACCAACAACCCCCCCCAAAAAAAAATCCTGGGTCACCCCTGGAAATAGTTTAAATACTCAAAATAAATTGTTTTGACTGGTCGTTTTGCACGCGGATGCTACAAACTGTGAAAATTTGCAGCTTCTGTTTCACAACTGGAGTTTTAATGCACGTTTAAATAAGGGAATAAATATGTGCTTGGCTAGTCAGGAGAATTGACACAACTAATGCCCGAGCCGCAGGTTAGGGCATTATCAACGTCCATTCTCCTAATTCGGCCGTAAACGGTAGTTTGAGGTAACATTTAAGATTAATTAAGCACAAATTTATTCCCATTCATAAATACCGTTTAAGTGAGAGAGTCAAAAAGTCAATGTACGATAAATTCCATTTAAGGGCGTGTTTGGGCATTAACCCGAACCACAAACTTGTTTCAGCTTTGCTCATTGGTTAAGCGTTTTCGCAACTTGGTTATGCCTGTGTGACGTCATTGTTCCGACCGAACGAGAACAGGGGGTTGGCGTTGGTTCAGCGCCGGTTCAGAATGGCAGAAAACAAACAGACAATGTTTGTAGCCCTCAAATGAGTGAATTAGACATTTCAGAATTTGTTGTTACTTGTAGCAAATCAACGAGAACGAGAGCTTATCTGTCTGTTTGCCAACAGAACAGAGGGCTTTTTCGCATTGTTTTGCAATTTTGAACAATTTGTGTATACTGGAAAAGTAAAGGCAAAAAATTAGTAAGTGAATATAATTTAAAACGAATGTTCAACAGAGAATGTTTTATCAGTGTAACTTTGGTTTATGTGATATAGTGATGATGTTCATGTGACTGATCATATGATGATGTCATTTGCAAATCGTGTGAGTTTTTGACTAAAACATTTGCATTTATAGATACAACAGATAAAAGGTTTCAGCCGAATCTGACATGTAGTTTAGAAGATATAGTGATTTTAATAATAAGGGAATAAAAGTGTGGTGGAGCGTGTATAAACTTGTCGTTCATAACCGATGAGGGACCTGGTCGCCGATACTTTTCATCTCAAACACATCCCTTTGTGGATACATGCAAGGTTTCAACCCGATCGGACACGTAGTTTGGTTAATGTAGCCGTTTCAAACCTCTGTACAAAAAGCTATGGGAAAAAATAAAGATTGAAAATTTCAAAATAATTTACACGATAACTTCATCATGACGTCACTACTTTGGTAGAATATTTGCCTGATCATCTGTGCTTGGTGTAACTTTTAGACCGATTCAAGTCTGCTAGCTGAAGATATTGCAACTTGAAATCTATGTACAAAGTCTATGGGGAAAATTAAAGATTTAAAAATGCATAACAAATCATACGATGACGTCATGATGACGTCATCCATTTGGAAAATATTATGCATGTGGGTCGTCATTGGGTGTAAGTTTGATAATGATTGAAGATTGCTTAAGTGACCAAAACTGTGCCTCAAAAACGTGTACAAAGTGAATGGGCCGAACAAAATATTGAAAAATCAATAAAAAATCACTTCTATGCACATCTATGCATAAGGGTCCTTCATTGGTGTAAGTTTAATGACATTCGAAAGTTGTTTAGGCACTAAAGTGGTGGCCAGAAAAAACGTGCACAAATTAAATGGCCTTTTGGGGAGAAGAAGAAGAGGAACAGGAAGAAGAAGAAAAAGGAAAAAAATCAGAACAAAAGGAATGCCTTTTTCGCAAATTTGCGAATTTGCAAATTTGCCAATAATTTTCTTCTAGAATGTATGTGAAAAGAGAGAGCAGCAGTCGTGAGGAACATGCCGAATATTGAGTGAAAATGATGTTCATCAACGGTGTCGTCTGCTTCCTTACGCTTGCCTCTGTCAGATAGCGTGACCATTTCTGGTTCTTCGTTTTGTGGGACACCCTTATAAACATGTTCCTGGTTATTGCTTAACATCACGAACAGGTTTCTGGTTAAAGGTCGCCAAAAACACACCCCAGGTGAGGGGTGCTTCTGTCCAAGGCGGATAGAGCCGGCGCTGCACGTCGCCGTACAATCTGCTGGTTGTCTAAGCCTGTGATTTCACCCACACTTTCACCCAAAAACAACACTTGAATAAAAGATCAGAAAATCCATATACATTATCCAACGGCATGGCTTTTTTCAAGAATTTCAAGAATCTATACCGGCGAGGAAAGACAGTGATGCCATAGGGATTTTTATGTCTATTGTCTGCGCGTTTCCGAGTATTTCCAATGGAGTGAAGACCTTGACATTGCTCTAGACAACAGAAATAGGGTGTAGACGGTAAATCTGTCTCCTCTTGTTTTGCCAAGCAGAAGTTTTCTTGTTAGGTTGATGAATACAGTCCACATGAAATACATCTAGATTGTTATCCCTTCATTAAGCTGTCAAAAAGGCGAATATGGGATGTAAAATCAACACAGCTCTGTTTCTGCAAGGAATCAGATAAGTCAGCAATCTGTATTCTGTAGACTTCTTGCACGCGTAGTAATTTTCAGTCTCTTGGCGTTACGCGGAGTCACTATCATGGCCGACCTGTAGAGGAAGGAAAACGGTCGCCCGAAGTTGACAGTAGTTCTAGTTAACAGCGTCCACGTATGTATCAAATGCCCATCTCCATTATCAATGGCTTCGAGCCACAGGCTTCAAGCACAGTAAATTGAGACAAAAAAAACAACTACGGTGTCATTGATACCCGCGCCCACAGCCCCCACCTCATCCAATTGCTGTATTTTGGCAGGGGGGCACATTTCGGGGGGGGACAAATCTATCTTTTTGAGAGGAGACAAATTTACCTGGAGGGGGACAGATTTACATCTCGTCCTTAAGTTTCAAGCGCCAGGAGTTATTAAATTGTGACAGTCTTATGACATCAGATCTCATCTATATAGGTTTTTATCAGTCCTCTCTGTAATACATGTATAGAGCATTAATAGTCCGAGACACGGGAAGTACAAAGTTTACTGTGTTACTAGACGTATGTGCCATTGGTTATCAGCAAACTTAAAACAAAGCAGAGTCTCTGTTCACTGTAAGAAACAGGTGGGATCCACCATACTCCCACAGAGCAGCACATATGCTGACAAAACGTGTCATCGTTATGTCTGAAGGTCTTAGCTGGGAAAAGGTCAGAAGGGTTTTGGCTCGATGGATGCTGAAGTCTCCTTGGGCGATAAACTCCCAAAATGAACAATAATGAGAGACGAGTAATCATCAATAAAATGCAGTTAATGAGTTGTGGGGTAGGCGCAAAACAACAGTGATTTAGAAGAGCGGTTGTCATGGTTCTAAATGGCAACCTTCGGGATTCCAAGGAGACGCAAAATGAGAGTGACGTTTATTTACTTGTTTGATTGTCTGCTTGACGGTGAATTCCGTCAAGTTAGACATATAGAGTAATCCTACGTACGAAAACAGCGCTGTTTCACTAGAGGCATTCCCGATTCCTTCTTTTACGGCGAAAAGTATCGTACGGGTCCGAGTTTCGTACGAAAGCTACTGTGTGACGGAGTAGTGGTTGCGACTCAAGTAGTCCGCCTGTGGGGACTTTCCATGGGGTCATCCTAACACGTTCGACAATTTTTAAAAGAATGATTCCAAACAGAAACTACACCAAGAAACACTCATGTCAGGATTTTACCTTTGAGTTAACTCCTAAAGTAATACTCTGGGAAATGTCAGCTGGAGTTGAGTAAAATCCGAGTTTCACTAAGTGTTAGTTCACAAAAAGACCAAGCAAAATCTTTAATATTCGACATGGTAGGGGGTCAGCACTTTGAGTTTAAATCTTGGCTATTTCATCCCCACTCGGCACGATATCACCAGGTGGGGTAACTCGATCTATAATACCACAGTGGCCGAGTACATGGCACCGGTAGTTCTCAGCAAAAATGGTACAGTTATGGGGAGTTATTTTAAGGCATATTTTGGCATACAATTACAGCCAGATTTGTACCCTAAATTGTATCGCTTATTATCAAATTATATGTCAAAAGAAAGAGCTCATTCTCCAATACACAATGAAATAAAAATGGTTGATGTGCAATAATTCACTGCAGATATCTAGGCATTAGAAAAACATGTGTCAGCTCTTGCGGAAAACGATGTATTTACGCGTCAGACCAGAACTTAATTAATGCAATTACTGCAAATGCAGAAAGTCTCTGCATCTGATGTGAGTGTTGAGTGGAAGTGTTGCCATCCACTCCATGAACAAAAAGGCAAAAGAACAACATTTCATTATACTAAAAACAAACAAGGGGATAAATACATGATTAGAAAGCCTGAGAGGTGGGTTCTGGGTTAAACAAGTGGTCACGTAAAGAGCAGAATAATTCATTTGGAGAGGGTAGAAGACACAAATTCTGGAGGCTAGAAGGAAGAGTTTTGAACAACCTGCGGAAAGAAACAAACAGAGAATATTTAAGGCAGTTGGTCCGACTGTACTGTTGACTGAAGAGCAAGACATCAGTTTTCCTTGCATTTGGCTGGGGAAGGAGGGTAGAAGGGACAGCCACGTGTCTGTGGAGGCATTTCACAACCATAGCCATGCTCAAGTAGATTAACCTGTT